AAACAAAATACTTATTTCTGTCTCAAAAGGAAGAGAAGTTGTTCCCAAACCTGAGACAGTGGCAACTGATTTTCTCAGGTAAAAGAAAAGTTCTTCGTATTATTTTCGATAACTGAAGCCATTTTTCAAAAGAGAGAATACATTAATTCTGGCAAAGATAAAAAAAAGAAGACAAAATGAAGACTAGAAGGAAAATATGCTATTTGGAGTTCTCACAGGTAAAATTGTTTTATAGACGTGTACCACAGATTTGGCATTAATTATGTGATTCAGAATGTGACTGTCACCCTGGGGCTCTGTAGTATATTTGGAGTAGACATTAATAGGTGAAAATGTAACTGAAATAGAATTATCTCTTTTATACCAAGCTTTACTATCTCTGAGATGGAATCAATTTCTGCATTCTAGGCTTAGATATAAAATCATATTTTATATAGAGATATAAACCTAACTAAGTCATTTGAAGCAAATTTGGGGGTATTAATAGTTACTAAACTAATGATAAGGGTGACACTTTTTAAACACACCAGTTTTCCTGATCACTACCCCCAAATATAAACAAACTTGCATTTTTCATTTTCAGCTAACTATATTCAAAGAAATCAAATGCATTCTTAATTTTGTATAACTCTAATTGGTAGCATGCATGATTAGAAAAAAATACTAAACATTTTAGGACCGGGGTGCTAGTAAAGCTTTGCCATACATGTAAGGCCTCGGTTAAAGTTATGCTGCTTGGCTCTTGGGATCTGCTCTCCAAACACAGCAAAATGCACTAATATTTTCCAGCTTAAAAAAATGCAAGTTGCTATGTTTATGCAAAGATGTCAAATTATTATCAAGTTTATAAACTTTTTACTTTTTTGAATGTTTTTTTAATGACTTAATTGGTAGAGCATATTCCATTTACCATCCTGAATACTTCTGTCTTCTTTATTCAATATTTTCACATAGTTGATCAGCAAATATATTTTTTGCTACTTTTCAAACAAAACATACATTTCTGGTGTTTTTGTTTCTACAAAAATAGAATGTTATTATGAGCAGAAGTGTGTTAATAATACCCAGCTCTTACCGCCACAGTATATAGAAAAAAACAGGTGTTGTGGGTTTTTTTTTTTAACTTATAGCTTTACATAACTGTTCCCTGTGATTCATAGTTGGCCATATATGGCATCATGGCATAAGAAAAGTTAAATAGGAAATGTTTTGATTAATGTCTTTTTCTTATTAGACTAGAGGCAAGGATCTGTTTTGTCTTTTGTTCTATCTCCAGTATCTACAAGATCAGGGAAGGCACTGTAGCACTGAATATTTTAAAATTATTTTTAAGTTAAACAAATATGCAGAGAAACCTAATATGTTATATCCTATTAATAGAGCCTATTCTATCTAAATAATCTGCAAGAGGGGAAATAGTATATAGGTATAAACTTCACTATCTTTCTCTTTTTTTATACTAATTTATTTTAAAAAATCATATTTATTGAACTGAATGATTCACTCTTGTTTCTGACCATTATTTTGGGATGTTTTCTCCAAACACTCTTCTGATTAAATCAAATTCATGCCCCCAAATTAGGAAGTATTCTGGTAGTTTAAGAAATAAAATTAGAAAGAATGCTCAATGTACATTCCAGTATATGTAGTTATTGCCTGAAAGATATTAATAACATTGACTATAGCTCTAGTAAGATCTAGCCACTTAGTTACATGGATTTACTTTTCTATATGAGGAACGAACAGTAATAAAATTAGCATGCTGGCAAAGATAATACTATTTATGGCATTGTGTTTGTAAACTGTACATTAGTCCAGCTGTATTTTCTCTCCATCTCTTATCTCTAGTTCCTTTTTGCTGTGGAATCACAGTGGCAGCTCCAGGTTTACATCAGCCTTGATGGGGGGATCCAGAAATGAAGTATACTTGCCTCAGATTGCTCTAACTAATGTCTGATGATGACTCCTTGTAGCTGCATCTCTGAACTGCTTTATTGTGGTCAAATGAGGTCATATTTCCTGGTCTGTGGGAGGAAACGAAGGCCTGAAGAACAGCTGTTCCCAAAAGATAAAATAAAATTGCCCAAGAGAGTAAAAAAAGAAAGATATCTTCTACCAAGAGCTTAATTTGTCTTAAGAAATTACAGGATTAATAAACTGCCCTTTTTGTACACTTTCACTGGATAAATTAGGCATATAAAAATAAGCTTATGCAAGGTTGGAATCTTTTTCTTATATGATTTTATTTTTTACAGTATTTAAAAATAGTGATATTATAACTGGTTTTAAGATATTCTGGGAAAGAGTTAAGAGCCAACTATATAAAAATAGGTGAACCCTGGGGTTCACCTATTTTCAAAGAGAAGAGGCTATTTCCCTGATGCAATATGCTTGCCTTAAAAACAAGTGGCAGTTGTCCTGGCTGGGTGGCTCAGTTGGCTAGAGCATTGTCCTGTACACCAAAAGGCTGTGGGTTCAATTCCTGGTCAGGGCACATACCTAGGTTGCAAATTTGATCCTGGACCGGTACATTTGGGAGGCAACTAATAGATGTTTCTCTTTCACCTCTCTCTCTCTCTCTCTCTCTCTCTCTCTCTCTCTCTCTCTCTGCCTTACTTTCTATGGAAATCAATAGAAACACATAAACATATTCGGGGAACTTATAACTGGGACAAAGACAATAGTGTGGTGAAGGCTTGGGAGGGGCAGGTGTAGGGTGGAGGGGGTTAACGGGGGAAACAAAAGGGACATCTGTAATACTTTCAACAATAAAGATACATTAATTTTTTAAGTGACAGTTTTGCACAATAATCTCCATTCAATCAATTGCAGCCTTTGTTGAGATGATCATTGTTGGAGAAAAGCAGAAGTCAGGATATTAAATCATTTCTTCACACAGAGTATGTGTAAGCTGATATTGGCCAACAGTTTCTCTCACAGAATGAGATGCATATTGAAAGTTTAAGTGAATGGAATATATTCTGTAGGCTCTAAAATACGTTTCCAAGACAAATCCAATGAATAGGAATTCCCATGGGGTTCTTCTTAACAAGCAGATGATTTTCTCCTTCAAATTTAGGAGTCTTCTGACTCCCAAAGCAGTTAAGATTGCCTTTTTGGCCCTGGCCAGGTGGCTCAGTTAATTGGAGCATCCTCCTGTACATCCAAAGGTTCCGAGTTCAATTCCTAGTCAGGGCACATACCTAGGTTTTAAGGTTCCATCTCCGGTCTGGGTGTGTACAGAAGGCAACCGATCAATGTTTCTCTCTCACATCAATGTTTCTCTCTTTCTCTAAAAAACATTAATAGAAACATATCCCTGGGTGAGGATTAAAAAAACATTTCCTTTCAAAATATCAAATTAGATATATGTATGTATATACAAAGGTATGTATGTGTGTATATATATAAATCTCAACTTTATAGAAGAGTCCATTTAAAAGAAGTTAATAAACCTCTAGTGTTATTTTCTCTGTGTCAGGATAGACTGTGTTCTCTATGCCTTACAGGCAATAGAGTCTGTCTATTTATTATCTCCAGTGAAAATGATAAAAAATTAATTGAAAATTTATATCATAAAATATATATTTCATTGTATTTCTTTCACATTGCATCATGAAATATGCTAGTATTAAAAATGTTCCTCATAAGCCAGAGTACTTACATGAAAATTTGTCACATACAATATTTAACAGATGTCTGATTTCAGTGTTCTATTACTAGAGAGAGGCAGCAGTGATCTGGTGTATAGTGCATTATACCAGAAGCCAGAAAACCTAGAATCATAAGTCCTTGGCTCCGTTGCTGACTATTAAATAACACAAAATAATTTTTGGATCATCTGTGCCTCATTTTATTCACCTTGAAAACAGAAGGAAAAACAATCTCCTTTTGTGTTATAAGGGAACAAGAAAAATGGTTAAACAACTCAGGTTTAAAACTCAAGGTCTGCAAAATCAGAATGGTGGTCAGAAATGTTAATTCTCACTTAGGGAAAATGAGAAATTAAAGGGCAAGGCATTTTTAAAAGACCGTCAGGATCACGTGTATAGGAATCGACGAACAGGCATGCGAAACCATGATTGGCAATTCTCCTTGCATGAACAAATCACCACTTGTCTTCACAGAGGAGCTAGCAGCGGTGCAAGTAATCATGTGATGATGTAACAAAGCACCCAGGTCCTTGAGCTCCTTGCATAAAACGTGGTCTCCTGGAAGCAGATTGCTAAAGCAGAGACTTAGATCACTGGTTCAGCCACGGCTCATGTGCCCCTTACAGTCTGAGCCTCATTTTCTCCTCTGAAATTTCAAATCATTTGTCACATGCTGCTAGTATGAAAGAATAGTAATGGGAAGCCAAAAAGATAAAGGATATCCAATAGGTGTAATAGACTACAGAATAAAAATAATGTAACAGTTCTAAGAGCAAATCACCTAACAGTATAATTGACGTTGGAATCAAGCAACATGGAAGACTTATGACATCTTGCTTCCTGCGTGGAGCCCTTCGAGAATGAACTAGTTGCAGTGATTTTTTCAAACTTTTCCTCACAATGAGAACCAACTGGAAAGCAGTTAAAAAATACTCATGTACATGCCACATCCTAGATCAACTAAATAAGAATTTCTGGAGATGGGCCTCAGATCTTGTTGTAAACGTCATACAGGTGATTCTCTTGTGCCTCCAAGATGGAAAGCCACTGATCTAATGCAGCGTAGAGCTACTAACAGTGGAAATTTCTTCCTGGCTACTGTAAGAAAAAATTGCAAAGCATCTCTTCTTTCCCTTGAAACAGCTGAATATGATAAATAGCTACTCCTAAAACTTGTAAAGATTATCGGCTACACCAATGTTTATTGACCTTTAGTAGAATAGGATTCAAACCAAAGATTCAGCTTTTCACTCACCCGAATCTATAATATCCTTTGAAATGCTTATGTGTGAACTCTGGTACTTCTACTCCTAGGGCTGCCTACACGTCTAAATATTACTTTTAAAGTTTTTTTTTTTTTTTTTTGAAGATTCACAACCTTTATTATGGGTAAGAACTTTGCTACAACTTTGGGAATAAAAAGTAAAATTACAACAGAGGTCCTAGGCCCTGGAGGAGCCTGAAAAAGGAGACTGGGGACAACACAAGGGTCCTCCCACCTCCCAGGAAAGGTGCAGAGTCAGCCAGACCTCACCACAGGCTGCGGGCCTTTAGAGGCGCGGGCACTGGGCTGGTCAGCGTGAGAAACACTGTGAACTTAAATATATAAATAGAGAGAGCCCCAGGCATCGGCCGGGCCCTGCTCCCAGACTCCTGGGGGTCAGGGCTAAGGCCATGTCTCTGCCTCAGGGAGATACACTGGGAAGTAGGAGGCAGGGGAAGTCGTCTTTGGATGTATTTTGGTTTTCCTTGTTTATGTACAAAAAATCTACAACCCAAAATAGAGTTCTCTGTGCATGTGTCTGTCTGTCTTAGTTCTCCACCTGTCTGTTTGGCCAAAGAGAACAGATGGACATGAAGAGACAGTGGCTCTGGGGACGGAACTGAGCCATGGTTCGGGGACTGGGAAGAGAGGGCATAGAATTCAGCCCTCCCCGCAACTCCCACCCCATCCCATCTGCCTCCCACTGCCTTCGCTAACATACCCAAAGGGATATGCCAGCCATCTCAAGAACACTTCAAAAAGTAGGAAGGACCCAATGTCCTTTAAAAGAGGTTAAATATTAACCCTTTGGATGCCGGCCTTGTCAGGCAGAAATGAGGCCAAAAACTAGTGTCTGTGAAGGTCTTTCTTGCCTGTGGCCAAACCCCCCCTCAGGGGCAGAGTGGCCAGGGCTCTGGACTCCACAGCATCCTTGCCCATTTTTGCTGGGAGACAGTGAAGGTTCCATAATCCAGGGGACTCAGTCCAGGGAAATGATGTCTGACCTGCAGCCAGTCAAAGAGGGGCCTGGGGGCAGGGGTCCTCCGTGCCCCTCCCTCAAGGCCCCCCCAGGAGCCACAATGCTACTGACTCGGCCAGGAGGGGGTGCTGGAGTGGTGCTGCGGTGAGAGTTCCCCAGTGCGGGGGCTAATGGGCCCAGGAAGTGGGAAGGGGTCCCTCGGTACTGGAAGAAATGGCCAAGGGCATCCTGCTCATCTAGCGAGGTGATGACGGAGGGGCCGTAGTGCTGACTTTCAGTCTGAAGGAAAGAAAATAAATCTAAACCTTGGATGTCCGCCCCCAGGGGGAAGGCAGGTGGGTACTCGTGCAGTGGGAGACTGGACAGGAACTCGCTGCCCAGCGCCCCCATCGCAGGGCTCCGCAGCACCGACGACGCCGGCTGGTGACCAGATGCCAGGACCCCTTTGCTTCCAGGCAGAGCCGGGATGGCAGCTGAGGTGACAGGGCAATGCTTCTTGGTCGGGGGCAGGTCCTCCTCCTCATCTGATGAGCTTTCTATTGTCAGGTCAATAACTTCAACCTTCTTCTTATTCTCTGATGGATTGCCCTCTTGGACTGGGCTGTACTGGGGGCCATCCAGCCCATACCCTGGCGGGGGGCAAACCTCAGATGCCTCCTTCTTGGGTTTCAATGGGCACCAGGATCCATCTTCCATGAACTGGATCTCATCACAGTCCGAACAGGAATTAAGAATCTCCATGAATAAACCATCAATGATAAGAGATTCATAGGGAGCCTTCTTGTCACACACAGGACACGTCCACGTTGGCTTCTTCTCATTCATCTGCAGATACAGGGCAGCATCGAAGCTCTGCAGGTGGGCGCAGGTGAGGGCACGACAAGGGACAGTCAAGCGCATCTTCCCGAGCGGGCACATGAGTGACACCCGGAGACTTGTGGTGGCCACCTCACTGTCCGGGTCAGCGGTCAGTTTCTCCTTGATCAGTGCCCGGGAGTGGTCTGGGTTCCGGATGCCCTTTGCTCTGAGTTTCTGTAGAAGGGTCCCTGCCGTCAGCTGCCTCACCAGGTACACAGACAAGGAGTAATTCCGTCCGAACTCAGATGACCAGTTGACCACGATGGTGTTGGGAACAGTGGCCGAGAGTCGAGCCAGGGGAGTGATGTTGATGGGGCGGCTGGGCCTCTTTGGCTCAGCCCCATTCTTGGTGGGAGGAAGGTAACCCGGCAGGGGGCACAGTTTCCCATTGACCTTGACAAAGAGGTTGGGGGGGAAATAATCCTCCTGGGGGCAGCTGGTCTCACAGAGACAGAACCTTAGCTGCACCTGGATGTATAATCGCATTTTGGCTCCCGGCAGGACCTCTCTGGACGTGAGGATCTGCTGCACTTGCTGGGGCGTGAGCGCAAACGTGAAGTGCGCTTCCTCAAAACGCTGGCTAGAGATGGACGCGAGGGTGGTGGGCCGGATGAGCTCCCCGTAGACTTCATAGAAGGGCAATGGTTTCATGGTGACATCGGGGTGCACAGGCTGGGGCAAAGGGGGGTGCATGTCCACTTCACGCTTGGGGCCCAGCAAGGTGCCAGGGGCCAAGAGGGCCGGGGGGATGGGAGCTAGAGGACCAGAGGAGCCCACCGGAGGGGTTCCGGGGGGCAGAGAGAGAAGGGAGAGATCAGAGGGCCCCAGTGTCTTGCGGGGGAAGCGCCGGCGGTAAAGCTCTTTGATCTTCATCTGGACGCTGGGGGCACAGCTGGACTTGAGGAGGTGCAGGGCCTTGGCCAGGAGTTCGTGCTTCCGTCCACTCTTGTTCCGGCCAGCAAAGCCAAGGAGCACCTGCAGCTCAGACACCCGGAAACTCATCACCATGTGCAGCTCGGTTTCGGGGAGCGGGGAGGGCGCTCCGAGGGGGGCTGGCCGGTGGGGGAGGGGGCGCGCGGCGCCTGCCGCCTGCACAGCTAGAGGTCAGTCCCGCCGCTGGACTCTGCAGCCGCGGCTCCGCCCGGCGGGAGCTCCGCCCGGCCAGCGCCGGGGCTGGGGCCGCCCTCCCTCTCCGGCCGGCCCGCCCGCCTAAATATTACTTTTAAAGCCACTGCCATAAAGTCTTCAAAGGAAGCTTTCTTCTCTAATTATTGATTTTTTTCTGCCATAAAAAGAATTATTTGTTTTGATTAGGGACTTGAGTGGTAGCAGGAATACTCTGCCCTGCATTCATAGCCCATATTCATCATTTATTTAACACAATATAATAGCATCTTATAAATGTCACCGTATTTTCTCATATCTGTAAAACACTGATATTGAGTGCCACATGCAGACTTTCTTTCTAGGTAGATATATTATACTGATTTTGTAATTATCTACTTTCAACATCACTTTGATTCTGTAAAGTGTTCTAAAAAAAGCTACTGAAGATTTCTGTCTGGATTCTTTTTTTCTAGCTCAAGCAGAACCTGAAAAGGAGTTAATGTCATATAACTTGCAACAGAGTCTAATCGCTGATCAGAGAGTACAAGCTTGAATGAGAAGCTACTTGATGCCTATCCAAAACTATCTGAAACTCTGCTGAAGAATCTTTAAAATGAAGGCATTTATTTCTCTCTATCTAGGGGTTCTGAAGACAGGACTATTAATTGGACTTCAGAGGATTAAATGGCCCAATAAAACAAATGAAATATAATGAACAACATAAACTGATGAACAAAAACAGATCCAGAGACAGAGAAGCATTTGATCAGACCATCAAACCTCAGAGGGAAGGTAGGGGAGGGTGGGGGTAAGGGGGAGAGATCAACCAAAGGACTTGTATGCATGCATATAAGCGTAACCAATGGACACAGACATGAAGGGGGTGAGGGCATGAGTAGGGGGGTGGGGGGCAATGGGGGGGAAAGGACACATATGTAATACCTTAATCAATAAAAAATGCAAATATGTGTATGAGTATATGCATGTGTGTTTTTCTGGGAAGAGTGTCTATAGTTATCAATCAAATTATTTACAAAAAGATAGTGGCATAAACTGGTTAATAACCCTTGGTATGAATATTCTCAAATCTCCTTAGATTTATGTTGCTATATTGTCTTTGCTCCCTATACAAAGCGTTCGCCTGATTGGTGCTTTCAGTTAAATTTCACCATCCTTAATCATGGAACATAGCCATAAGAAAACACAAAAATGCAAAAGTATATTTTCTCTACAGATGTTATTAAATATGTCATGATTCATATTTTTTTCTTTTCATCTCATTCTTCCTTTATTTTATTATTATTTTTTTAATTTAAGTTCTTTATTGTTTAACTAGAGGCCCAGTCCACAAAATTTGTGC